GCCGCTCACAGGAGGCGGGGCATGGGAAAAATGTTAACTTAGAGTTGAAGCGAAATTTTGAAACCAAGGTTGAATAGGAAGGAAGTAAATCGAGTTACCCAAACACACAGAACCTAAAGAGGTTAGTTCATGGCGAAGCTTCCCAACTGTGGGCGTTTTCTAGGGAGCATCATGCTTGATCAACATTCTATGCATCATAAAGCGTACATCAATTGAAAACAATAGTAATTTGGAAAAGAAAATTCGTGATAACCGCATATCCGTCACGTAGTTTTGCATGACTTCCTTGTGTCGTATAAACTGAACCTCTGAATGAGCGCGAATTGCTCGGTTTCCATTAAATGCACAGGTGGGATGAACAAAAAAATTTCTGGAAAATCGGTAATTCAAATCACTGTTTTCAACTAAAAGTGTTCAAAGACCATCACCACGATGCTTCAGTTTTGTTGAAGTTCTATGAAGCACATCCTGGTTCAATGCCCGAATACGGTTTGAAGATATGGAACCCCATACTAAAGCCTTCAGGCAAAAAAACTGAAAAGGTTCAACAGAATCCCACGAAAAGTATAGAAGCTATCCAGACCCAGTGTACCAACGTCCTTGACTCATTTAGGATGAACGGCTGCATCGCTTCAGTCTTAAAACATAATTATTCAGAGGAGTATTTAATGATATTGTATCTCGCTTTATAAGATCAAATGGCAAACTTAAGAACGCAATTCACGATAAACATGGTTTTCCAGCTCTCTCCCTGGGGATACCCAGTGGCCTTCAAGGGTGACACAGAGCAGATTTTCGGCCCGCTCAACCACTGCTATCACGCCGTTTTTCTGCCTAAAACTCGTCCAACCCCCATTTCTTTTTGGGGGCCGTTTTTTGCGCTTTTTTCGTTATTTTTGCAATTATTATAGACCTTATCTTTCATTATCCGTCAAAAATCGTATCATGAAGTGTGCTTTTAGGCTAGGGCCGAGCAGGTAGTTGGTATTCGGAACGTGCAGAGGTCGTATCGCTTAGTTATCTCAGCAATGCGCCGAAAACCGTCGTAATTAGCGATAGGAACCGCGAGCCGCTGACCCACAGCAAATCCTTGGTTTTGAGAGAAACGCTGCCCGTTCTACTCGAAAATATTACAATCAATGCATTACTTGACCAAAGCCATAATGTGAGCGTTGGTCAATCCGAACGTCACAATTTCTGTTTCATGCTCGTCCTGCATTTCAGATTTCATGCTCGTCCTGCATTTCAGAGACCGATTGGAAAGCTCCGTGTTGTTGGCGTTCAGATAGAGCACAGATACATAAAGCGACTCTACTACGCCGTTTTTTTTGAAGGCTTCACGAACGAAAATGATCAAGAAATTCTTTAGTGTTTGGCAGATGTGAAGGTACGTACCGGAGTAGTTGGCCAACAATTTTATCGAGGAACCACGAAATAGAGTGGGACGACAACGCTGATGGAAACGCAGGGGGTTGGTTTCTCGGCAGGGATGCTTTGGTATTTCAGTTTCTGGGGGTAGTTGCAACTGGCCTAGTGCGTTTGTGCGCTTGTTCAGGTAAGCCACTCAAGAGCTCCAAACTACTTTAGGTACTTGGAGACGACGAGTTGGTCGAAACGTCGACCTAATAAACGGTTCCATTATAACAAACGCGTTCGACAAAGCATTGTGAAATATATGGATGACAAATGGTCTACAAGGTTTGATGCGCATGCGCCTCAAGTTGTAGCCAATGGGTTAATAATTATAAGATAGCAAATGTCCAGGTTTCAAAAAAGGCCATTGTGGGGAGGGGGAAGGACCTACGAATGTCACTGCTGTCGAAAGATGTAAACACGGCATTCTTGAAGAGCGCAAGAGCCTTGCTAAGCTCGTGAAAGTTTTGGAAATTTATCTGTAATTGAACTAGACATGGTAAAATACTTAAAGAATAGTGGCCTCCGCTAACTCAGACTATAGGAAGTTTTATTCACGAAGAGCTGAGAAAAAAACGATTCAGAAAAACGCATGCTAACATAAAAGAAGACATGAACACTAACGGCGCGGAATCGCTCAAAATAAAAAAATCGAAATGAAATGAAGTCTACGTTAACACAATAGAAGCTATTTTATTGATGATAGGAAAGCATATATGGTAGTCAGCACAGAAGACTTGTGGAAGCAGTCTGCACAGGGAACTCGTCATGAGCCAGGCAACATCCTAGCTTCGTCCTTTAAAGAAGCGTACTGCTTTAGATAGCTTCTCGGAAAATGGTTAAAACAAGAAAGATTGCACCTCAGGTAAATATAGTGGACACGATAGCTTTTTTGGTTCAGACGGTTTCTGAGCAAACCTGGAGCCGCCCTCGCTCGGTATATGTTTTGGCGTCACCTCGAATGTGTCTCCTAAATAAGTGCGTGTTTGACTTCCGATGTGATATGTGTAGAAGTGGTATGTATTTGTATGTGTACCAGTTTGGCTATGCACGCTAACGCGCGCACTATATGTCGACGGCCACTTATCCACGATGGAGTCATTCAGCGGAATGTTGGATAATCAGAATAAGATAGTTCTCTCTAGATTCGAACGCTGAACTGCTGAGAGCATCACGCTCGATATATTTGAGCAGAGCTATTAGTGGTTGATCATAGTGGTTGGGTGATCGTTCTAGAACGTTTTTGAACAGAGTGACGAAATTTTGATCTAAGCCCCGCCCACTTTGGTGCCGGCCCCGGTAACTTCCGGGATTAGACCACATTTGTTCTCACATTTGTTCTTTTACACCTTGACACCTTTTTGCCGTATCCCAGAACGTTTCTGAATAGAGTTATAAATTTTTGATCCAAGCTCCGTCCTCTTTGGCGCCAGCCCCGCCCACTTCGAAGATTCGCCACACTTTTCCATTACCTCTAACCACTTTTTTCCAGCACTCTAGAACGTTTCTGAACAGAGTTATAAAGTTTTAATCTAGGCCGCGCCCACTTTTGTGCCAACCCCGCCCACTTTCGGGATTTGACCACATTTGTTCTTTTAACCTTGGCACCTTTTTGCCGCATCCCAGATTGTTTCTGAAAAGAGTTATAAAGTTTTGATCTAGGCTCCGTCCACTTTGGTGCTAACCCCGCCCGCTTCGAGAATTTGACCACATTTGTTCCATTACCTCTAACCACTTTTTTCCGCATTCTAGAACGTTTCCGAAAGAAGTTACAGTCATTTTTAAAAAGTAGCTTTCACCTTAACGCACGCCTCGCCCACTGTGGGCGGGGCTTCGCTGAGCTTACGCATGCCCAGCACGCATAAGGCCTTGCCCACCCCATCCCTCACCTTTGCACAATGAGAGCGAGTTAGAAGAATTTGCCCATTGCCACGCCCAGTTCCGACGCATGCCCCGCCCCTTGGGGGCGGAGCTCCGCTGAGTTCACATGTGCTCTGTTGGTCTTGTAATATGCTCAACCCATTCCAAACTTGACCCGACCTCTCCAGGTGTCTGTTTATGCTATATCGAATTTCCGTACAAACAAACAGACAGATAGACGCGAGCGCTTTATATATAGTAAGGATAAGTGTTTTCACATCGTCTGTGTGTGTGAAAAAATCTGGCTTGGACATTTCTACAGAGCATTGGCTCACATATGCTTCAAGGCAAGAAAATTCACGTGATAAGCGCCGATTTCTGAGTCATCCTTAAAAGAAAATCTCTTAAAGATCAAATCCATTCTTTAAAGAACACATCGCCCATTCTGTTCAGTAAAGGTCGCCAATTTTCTAACAGTTTCATTATCCTACTTCCATAGAAGGTTCTGGATTTAGAACCGAAAAACCCTTCAAGGCGCTTTTTGCAGTTCTTTAGTAGATTGAACGATTCTCCATTCAAACGATTTTGCAGAGACCTAAGAAGTGGTAGTCTGGTGGTGCTATGTCTAGACTATATGGTGGGTGTGGTAAGACATCCCACCCAAGCCCCAGCATTTTCTGATGAATGACCGAAAATACGTGTGGTCTCGAGTTATCCCTGTTGGAAGACAACGCCCTTACAATTGGCCGCTTCTGGGCGCTCCTGGTCTATCGCTGCCTATAAATTGTCTAGCTGAGTATAATACCTTCCCAAAGTTATCGTTCTACTATGCGGCAACAGCTCATAATAAATGATTCCCCTACAATCTCACCAGCAACACAGCATAAGCTCCCTCACCTGGATTTTGGCTTTTGGATTAGTTTGTGACGGCTCGCGAGGAAGGCTCCACGCTCGTTTCCGCTCCAAGTTGTTGTACCTGACCCACTTTTTGTCCTCCGCTTTCACATGTTTTAGAAACAGCTCATTTTTGTTGCGTTTAACATCGAGTCGCACATTTAGGCGCGGTCCATCGCGTTGCGCTCGCTCAGTTCATGAGGTACCCAAATATCAAGGCGCTCAACAAATCAAGATCCAGCAAATGATCATGGATGGTTGATTTTGAAACACTCAGTCTTTCTCCTGTTCCGCGAGTAGTGACTTGCCGATCCGTTATGATTAATAATTTGATTTGGTCAATTTCGACTGGTGATAGCCTTTCTGAGCGTTGCCGACACTTGAGGGTGGATTCACCCTCAAGTGTCGGCAACGCTCAGAAAGGCTAAATTTCGCAAATCACTCGCGTACTGTACGTTCCCCTACATGTCTATTCAAACGAACCAAATCTTTCTCGCAGCTTGAGCCGCATTTTTGCCTGCGCGGTAGAATAAAAGCAACAGGCGCCGCAAATGCACGCTATGATCCTCAAATTCCACACGAGTCCTATACGGATAGACTCCGAGGAATGTTAACAGAATATGAACAAGGCCATATGGGAGGGTGGCACTCTCGGAAAACATATAGATTTATGAGTTTAGGTTCTTGACGTTTTGTACAACAGATGACAAACCCGGGAGTCGAAAATCGGCAGAGACTTTGCGGACAATCCAATAGGTTGATGCATAATTATTGCGGATTTTTCACAAAGAGTTTCATTTAAAAAACCATAAGAAATCTCATCAAAGACGTGTTTAATGATTTCTCTGAAAGTAGCCACCATATGCGTTAAGCACTGCTTCCCATTTGATAGGTAGTCGGATTCCACAGGCGAAGAAGTTTCGATTCTTGAAGGCTATCCACATTTTGACATCGGTCAACAGGTCATCCAAATCGTCGTGAGTTCTGTTCCCTAGCCAATTATTCAACGAACGGTTGACGTGACCATCATAGGAGTTTGTATCGGTGAATATGTCGGATTTACGAGTAGATCTCATTCTTTTCTTGACTTTGGCTGGTTGTTCCATCGCCGAAGAGTTCGTTGAGAGAAATGACTCTGCCACCTCCCAACCATTCTCGAAGTAGTAGAGCATATTGTTACGAACATGAATATGACTTTCTAGACACTTTTCTTCCAAGGTAAGCGAGAAGATTATTCCTATAAAAATCCCAAAGTCATTATTCAAATTATATGGAGAGAAAAGAAACCGCGGAAAAATCTGCAATAATTGAAAAAAAAAACTTTTAAATATTTTCTCTCTTGATCTCTGTTGAATATTGCGCCACAACGGTTACCCCTTCATTCTCTTACGCGAAGTAAATCAGCCCGTCTACATAAGGCTGTACCAACAAGTAATGGCTTGAATATATTGTTAAATGAACTGACTGAATGACTTTCTCACCAGCCTTATATATTCATTCTGCAATCTGGTCATAGAGGCAATGTACTCCATACTGTTGATGCTGCCAACACCTTGATTAGGTCTGTCAACGCTGCCGCTCTCCTCGAAAATGGTAGATGGACACCTTCACTCGCGCTATATTGTAGGAGTTCCCATTGGGCTACAACGCACACAAGTGTTTTGAAGAGGAAACTTTGCCGAAGGTTTATTGTATCGATGGTGATGTACGGATGGGGAGTCACCACCCTGTTCTTGTACGGTGAGCTTACATACAAAATCAGGCGGGCCGCCCGGCTAACGCCGGGCTTCCCTCCTTATTATGGTGACGCAATCTGAATACCCTGAACGCCCTATGGCCAAATTGTCGATTTTCGTGCAAACCCCGCCCCTGTGAGCAATGTCCTTCCCTGCTACCTATACTAAGTGTCCCCATCCTGTCGCCTGCACTCCTACCAAGTTTGAACGCCCTATGGCCAAGTTAACTATTTTCGTGCAATCCCCGCCCCCTGTGGGCGTTGTCTGGTCTTGCCACCTACAGTGAGTGTTGCCATCCCGTTCCCATTATTCCTACCAAATCCGAACGTTCTAGGTCTATGGGGACAGAAGTTATGAATTTTTGCTCCAACTGCGCCCAGTGGGCGGAGTCTGGTACTGCTGCTACCGTAAGTGTTTCCATCCTGCCGCATGAACTCCTACTGAATTTCAACGTCCTAGGTCCGCGGGGACAGAAGTTATGAATTTTCGCTCAAACTCCGCCCACTGTGGACGAAGTCTGGTCTTGCCACCCACCATTAGTGTTCGTATCCTGCCGCCCGTGCTATTATCAAGTTTGAGTGTTCTAGGATCACGGGAACAGGAGTTGTGAAATTTTGCATAAACCCCGCCCATTGTGTGCGGAGTCTGGTCCCGCCACCCACCACTAGTGTTCCTATCTTGCCGCCCGTACTCCTATCGAGTTTGAGTGCTCTAGGATCACGGGGACATGAGTTATGAATTTTCGCTCAATTGTTTATTTCTCACAAACCCCGCCCCCTTTGGGCGGAGTTCGGTCCTGTGACCCACTGAAAGTGTTCCCATCCTGCCGCCTGTACTCCTACCAAATTTGAACGCTTTCGGTCCACGGGGACAGGATTTATGAATTTCCGGTCAGACACACACACACACACACACACACATACACACACACACAAACACACAAACACATCAACAGACACACTTAGCTGATTATATAAGTAGGATAAAGAAAAAATAAGCCGAAGCGAGTCAAAATATAAAGGCTGGAGCGAGTCAATATATTACATTTCATAAGGTATGATGATCGACGTTTTTCGTGTGTCATGAGAGAAGAATTTTGGAGTAGTACAATATGATTCATAACAAGACCATTAAGAATCTGCATAGTTATTCTGTGATACTATAGAACACTCCCACGGCGGAAAAACTTGCTAAAGATACCTATTTAGGACATTTGAAATAGTGCAGCGCATCAGAAAGCGATAGATACATTGAAATACAAACAAAGTCAATAATATAGAAAGTATGGCTTTCATGAAGAAGCTAGTTGGAAACAGGCTCGGAAACTCGCTGACAAAATTTTCTAATTTATCAAGTAGATGACCCAAAAATGTGGTGTCTCTAGGAGCGTCTCTTACATTCGCTTCTGATTGCAAGTCGCTCTTGATGAGATTGTCGCCAACATATAGAAGTAAGCCTTTCACTGTGAAGGGTATGGTTCCTCCAGGGCAGGAAGCAGTGCCTGTCATGGAGACAGTCGAAGTGTCCATGTGGAATCTGAGATTGTTGATGTGGTCTGAAGGGGTGCAAACTGCTACCTGTGTTTGAGAAGGGCAGTCGATGTTAGCAGTTACTTCGCTTTCACTGGATCGGCAGTAAAATTTTAGTTCGGCTCCTGCGAGGCAGTCGTAGCATCCATTGAAATCACTTGTCTCAATGGTACATGTAGCGTTGGATTGCCGAGTAGTTATTTTCATATCTTCGGCCACGAACTGTAATTGTAGAGCTGCTCGTCTTGGCATAAACTTCTTGATTTTCCGCGAAGATTATGACGTTTTTTGAAATTAATGGCAGAGGTGATGGTTGCATCAAGTCTGCAACGCTATCGGAGCTGCATGTGTAAGAAGCTTTGTAAAGCCCGTGAGTGCACATACAGGCGTTGACTGTGAAAGTACAGTTGAATATTTGTGCGTGTTCCTTCGTTGAGCATTGAAGTTGTCCCGCACTGTGGGGTTGAAGTTGTCCACGGTGAGCAGGTTTTATCAAGGATGTGGAGTAGTCCGTTTGTGCGAAAGTTGATGATAGTATTGGTAGTTGTGGAACAATTGTTCAATAAGACTGATTCTGAGGTCGTTCCAAGCAGTAGTTTGCCCTGGGTGAAGTTGGATTGTAGTCGAAGTAGTGGAGTCCTTTTGTCGAATTGTTACTTCTACTGTAACGATGATTCCCCAACTAAGGCAGGTGAAGATTGTGTAAATCGTTGAAGTGACTGGAGTTGCGTAAACTCTATAGAAGAGGCAACTTGGTTCACATAAAAAACAACCGCATGATAAGCACCCGCAGCTTGGCAAACAAAAGGTGTAGCCAGGGTTGTTGTTTGCCGTGAACGAAAATTCCTTGCTTTTCTCGGTTGGTGATATATTTTCGCATGTATGTCGCAATTGCCTGCTAGGTAGCATCTGTGTACCGATCCCGAGGTTAGTTGATGGTCTCGTGTAAAAAATTCCACGTTTTGCCGACATTGAAATAAGATGCCGTCGATTTTCATTGAAATTATGCCGACAGATTGATTGCTGTGGTCTTTGAGAGCGATACAAGTTTCCTGTTTCAAGGGTTGTAACGAGATTACCATTGCCTCGTTAAAAGAGCAGGTCTCAATATCATCCACTACGGAACAGACCTCTTCATTAGTTTTCATAGAGTCGACTTGAGTCGACTTTACTTTTACCTATGCATTTTTATGTTTTCTGTGTATTAACCATTTTTGGTCGTTTTCTTTTCTATTTTGTTTTCACTTAGAGCCTTTCATAGTAATTTCACTTACTTTTCTCTTTTTGCTAACCTGTCTCCTCTATTACTAAGTTTGTTATCTTGCACGTTATTGCTAGTCGCTAATTTACACTCTAGTCTTTCCACTAAGCTTTCTTATATCTTATTCGTTCTAGTCAGCTCTTCTTCTAGTCATGTTTATCTAGTCTTTCATCTTGCTAAGTATTTATTAACTTATAGTTTTATACATTATAAATATTACATTTACTAATACTACTACTTTAATCATATCTAATTCTTAATGTTTCATTTCACCACCTCTAGTCTATTTTAATTGTTACTCACTAACCCCTGACTCACCGAAGAGCCTCGGGGGTTGGTGAGTAACGAAGTGATTCGTCTGAGTAGAGGCGAAACGAATCACTTCACGTTGTGTTTATATTTATTCAGTAACACTAACATTTATTTTTTTGTTTATTGAAACAGCGCTGATGTTAACCTTAACTTGAGGGAAACCCAAGTAGGTTAGCATCAGTTCCGTTTAACGGGTTTACTTTTTACATATTGATTGAGGCAATAGCCTCGTTTGTCACCGGTGGTGATTTTTGGACCGATGGTCCCCATGCGTCGATTGACGTTTTGAATTGATTACAACGATTCTTGTTACATTTATCTAATATAATTAATATTAAGCATGAGAACAATAACAACACTCTACACTAACAAATTAAATTTCTTACACATTTAATTATGTTCTTCCACTTTGTCTTTATTTCTTTCTACGTGCAGATATTCACATGCCTTTTCCTAAATGTCATCTGCAGTGCGTCTAGGCAATTTTTGCTGGACCGTTTCTTCTATATCATTCACACGCTTCCTACCGCTCCTTTTCTCCTAGAATATGTTCATATATAAGACACTATTTATTCAAGNATGAGTATCTCAGGTGGCCTTCTTTTAGTGTCTATACAAAAACTTCTTATTCTTTTTCGGAGATATAGACTGTAAAAAAGTACTATTGATATTTATATTTGACTTTAGTAATACCTCACTTAAAAATTATTTCTGACTAACTCACCTCAAATTCTCTAAATCCCCAACCTTTATAGTTCGACCTCGTATTATCCTTACATTAGTCAAGTGCTTCCTATTATAATCGTTCAAATTCTTTCTACCTTTTTCCAGGTAGAAGCCCCAGAAGGTAGAAGACATTTCAGCCTAAATATTGTCAGTACTCCTTCATTCCTATAAAGACCATAACGTTAAGTTTATTACACGGAACGAAGAAGTGCCGCTATTATTCCCGGCTGAACGTAACCAACTAAGAGGATTAGCATCACTAGGGCGGTCGTACCTTGATTTGCATAACTAATCATAAAGATATATAGTATTCTCACAACTCACATAATAATTTCGTTTAAAAATTTAGTGGCTACTTCCTTCAGAGAAAGCTTGTCTGGATTCGGCACAGATACTATTCGTATTATCTTTGAGAGCACAGCCCGATTAACAGTTTCTTGAGTTTTTTCCTTCCTTTCCTTCCGATCCTGGTTGGAATAATCAAAGCCAGCTTTCTGAATACACTAGTAATATTTCATTATATAGTTTATTATATAGTTTCTTTGCAATCATCACCGCCGTTACAGAACTGTCGAACGAGGGAAAACATTCGATTGTAGAGAGTAGGT